GGGCCTCGATCCCAGGACCCCGGGATCATGACCTGAGCTGAAGGCAGATGCTTAATGACTGAGCCACCCAGGCGCCCCAGAACATGTTCATAACTTTAAAAAGAAACCCCATATTGTTTCATTTAGCTGTCACTCCCCAGCTCTCCATCCCCCCCAGCCACAAGCAACCACTAATTTACTTTTTGTCTTTGTAGACTGGCCTATTCTGGACATTTCATATAACTGGAATCATAACATGTGGTCTTTTGTGTCTGGTTTCTTTCACTGAGCATCACATTTTCAAGGTTCATCTATGTTGTGGTGTGTACCAGTGCCTCATTTCTTTTTATGGGCAAATAATATTCCAGTGTAAGGGACATTCTACATTTTGCTTGTCCATTCATCAGTTGACAGACATGTGGATTGTTTCCACCTTTTTCCTAATTGTGAAAAATGCAGGTATGAACGTTCAGTATAAGTTTATTTTTGTATAGACATATGTTCTCATTTCTTTGGATATATATCTAGGAGTGGAATTTCAGGGTCAAATAGTAACTTGAATTTAACCTTTTGAGAATCTGCCAGACTGTTTCTCAAAGTGGCTGCAGTATGTACATTCCAGCCAGCAAGTGTAAGAGGTTGTGATTCCTCCACATTCTTGCCAGGGCTTATGATTATCTATCCTTTTGATTACAACCATTCTAGTGGGTGTGAAGTGGCATCTCATTGTGACTATGATTTGCATTTCCCTGATGACTAATGATGTCGAGCTTCTTTTCATCTGCTTATTATCCATTTGTATATCTTCTTTGGAGAAATGTCCATTCAAATAATTGCCCAGTCTTTAATTGGTTCATTGTTTTATTGAGTTGTCATAGTTCTTTATATGTTTTACATACAAGTCCCTTATCAGATATGTGCTTTGCAAATATTTTCTCAATTCTGGGGATTACCCTTTACTTTCTTTATAGTGTCCTTTGAAACACCAAAGTTTTAAATTTTGATGAAGTCCAATTATCTACTTTTTCTTTTGTTGTTTGTGGTTTTGGTATTTTTTTTTTTTTAAAGATTTTATTTATTTATTCGAGAGAGAGAGAATGAGAGATAGAGAGCATGAGAGGGGGGAGGGTCAGAGGGAGAAGCAGACTCCCTGCTGAGCAGGGACCCCGATGTGGGACTCGATCCCGGGACTCTAGGATCATGACCTGAGCCGAAGGCAGTCGCTTAACCAACTGAGCCACCCAGGTGCCCTGTGGTTTTGGTATTAATCTTAAGACACCATTGCCAAATTCAAGGTCATGAAGATTTACCCCTATCTTTTCTTCTAAGAATTTTATGGTTTTGGCTCTTACATTTAGGACTTGAACCCTTTTGAGGTAATATTTATATCTGGTATGAGAGAAGGGTATAAGTTCATTCTTTGCCTGTAGATACCCATTTGTCCCAGCACCATTTGTTGAAGAGACTATTCTTCCCCTATTTAATTGTCTTGGCACTGGCACCCTTGTTGAAAATCAATTGACCGGAGATGTACGGGTTTATTTCTGAATTCTCAATTCTACTCCAGTGGTTTAGAGGTCTATCCTCATGTCAGTACTACATTGTCTTGATTACTGTTGCTTTTGTAGCAAGTTTTGAAATAGAGAAAAGGGAAGCCTTCAACTTTGCTCTTTTTTTTTTTTCAGGGTTGTTTTGCTATTCTTGGTCCCTTGCATTTCCATTTTAAGCTTGTCAATTTTCTACAAAGAGGTCAACAGAAATTCTGATAGAGATTATGTTGAATCTATGGGTCAATCTGGGGAGTATTCCCATCTTAATAATATTAAGTCTTCCAACCCATGAACATGGGATAGCTTTCCATTTATTTAGGTCTCCTTTAATTTCTTTCAATGATCTCTTATGGCTTTCAAAGTATAAGTTTTGCACTTTTTTTGTTAAATTTATTCCTAAGCATTTTATTGTTTTTGATGCTATTATAAATGGAATTGTTTTCTTACTTTTCTTTTTGGATTGTTCATTGCTAGTGTATGGAAATACAACTGACTTTTGTATATTGATCTTATATCATGCAAGCTTGCTGAACTTATTAGTTCAGATAGTTTTCTAGTGGATTCCTTAGAATTTTCTGTATGGGAGATCATGTCATCTCTGATTAAAGGTAGCTTTACTTCTCTCTTTCTAATCTGGATGCCCTTTCATTTTCTTGCTGGGATCCATTTTTACAGGTTCATTACAGATTGCCTGCAGAGGGCGCTCTCTCTGCAGAACAGGGTGGCAGAGCTGCTGAGGGTCTGGGTCAGGGGCTGGCACAGTCTTTTTGGCTCAGGCCATTGAAGGCTCTGCAGTTCATTCCCATCCATAATGATATTTCTCTCCTGTTGCTCCACACAGCTAAGTATTGTTAAAAACATAGCTCTAAAGAATAAGAAAACTTATGTGAATATGGTTAATGATGTGAAATTACATTTATCTCAGGAATATGTAAAGTTACAACTCTGATTCAGCTCTGTATAATGTAGAGCTTTCCTCTGCCCCGATTTTCTCTCCCCTAACACATAGAAATGTTTATGTCAAAGGTATATCATATCTGTATTTTTTCCTTTTTTGGTTTCTCCATGGTATTGCAGCAGAAGCACACACAGGAATATGGAAAAATCTTCAAGTCTCACTTTGGTCTTCAGTCTGTAGTATCTATTGCAGACCGAGACATGGTGGCTCAGGTGCTCCGGGCAGAGGGGGCCGCGCCCCAGAGAGCCGACATGGGGTCCTGGCAGGAGTACCGACAGTTACGAGGGAGATCCACCGGGCTCATCTCAGCGTGAGTATGTGGCTCGGGCGGACCATGGTGGGGGGGACCCCTGCTTGGAGGCTGGGCTCTGAAAACTAGTCTTTAGTAAACTGTACAACTCCCAGTGGAGTAGTGTCAAAATAGCCTCTTTGCATGATCTCCTAAATACTGGTGCTGAGGGCCCTGTCCCTTCTCCTCTGGGAAGAGATTAGTGCGGGTCGCACTAGCTTGGGAGAGGGGAGGAATTGTTTCTCAAGCAGTGCTCGGAGGCTGTAGGTGTCCTCTCAGTGACAACCAAGGGAGGGGGGATCACAGAGCAGATCTGTGGGCAGGGAAGGAGGCAAGCAGCTGCTTTAGGAAGTACTGAACAGGGGCTAAGATCCTTCTTGCATGGACCGCTACGTGATGCTGTTCCCGTCTCATAACAGGCTATGATTATTATTTGTAAACAAGGCTCACCGACACCTCTGTGCCCCTAAGAGCTAATCAGCATAGTCCTAGGCAGGAAGGAGAACACAGAACATCTATGTATCCCCTGGTCCAAATCCCTTTGGTTTAGAAATTTTATTTGTGATTCTATATATATAATATATATATATATTATATATATATATTCTATGCATGAACTGGGGAGAAACACAACCATAGGATTCTCAAATGAGGTAAATAAAAGCTGGGACTGGATATCACCAGAGTCCCTCAACTTCTGCTCTGAGGGAAATAATCAAACACCTCTTCCCCATTGGTCCAGCCCCGGAGGGGAGTGGCCAAATGCTGCAAAAGCTCTTTGCTCTCTGCACCATCACCTGCGGCTTGGCATCCACTATCCACTCTCCGCCCAGGAGCTCAGTTCAGGGCTCAGGGTTCAGGAGTTCATACACATAAACCTTTTTCTCTTTTGCTAATCACAACAGCCTCGTGTCTCATTATTATAACAGTTTTGCAAGGTTTTTCAAAGGAAATCCTATTACTTTCATAAAGATGATTCCCAGGGGCAGTTTTTCCCCTTAAAGTTTGCTTCAAGGGGAACAGACAGCAAGGCTGAAATTACTCTCCTCTCCCTACACAGTATCTTAATTCCATTTGGATCGGCAGACCTTGTTGGCTTTTTTATTGCTGGGGAGACTCTCAGAGGTTCCCTGAGTTCTTTTCCAGAATGTCAATGGAAGTAAGATTATTTGAAACTCACTTTACTTTTCTAGGGAGGGTGAACAGTGGCTCAAGATGAGACGTGTATTGAGACAAAGAATTCTGAAACCAAGAGATGTGGCCATTTTTTCAGGAGAAATCAACCAAGTTATTGCTGATTTAATTAAAAGAATCTACATCCTCAAGAGCCAGGCAGAAGATGGAGAAACTGTGACCAATGTCAATGACCTTTTCTTCAAATATTCAATGGAAGGTGAGGCGAAGTCAGGAGGTAGATGGAAGACAGGACATTTGCCCAAAATGATAGTTCTCATCCACTGGGCATGCCCTGTGTCCCCAGCAGTCACTGTGCTGAGCCCCGCACATACACACCCGTAGCCCTCATGGTGCTAACTTAGCCAGGTTGTATCACCACCACTGGTTTACAAGTGGGGATACTGAAAACCTGCCTCCATTTTTAGTGGCAGAAACTTAGTTTCAAATCCAGGTCTTTTTAACTCAAGAATCATGCTCCTAATTCCTGCACATTTTGCTTTAGCACAGTTTGTAGCAAACAGAAGTTTAGAGGGCCTCTACCACAGTCATTCTAGCTTTTAAAATTCATGTGGGATGGGTAGGACATTCCCATCCATGTCCTAAAGTCAAAACCAAACCCCAAAGGTAGTCATTGAAAAGTCCCTGCCCTCTCCCTCTCTCCTGACCCAGGGAGGTCACCAGTTTCTTTAAGGGATACATGTGAATATTCTTTTTTGGTCAGAGGAGGAGAGAGAGACAGAGCACAAGCAGGGGGAGTGGCAGGCAGAGGGAGAAGCAGGCTCCCCGCTGAGCGGGGAGCCCGATGTGGGGCTCCATCCCAGGATCCTGGGATCATGACCTGAGCCGAAGGCAGAGGCTTAACCGACTGAGCCGACAGGTGTCCCTACCTTTTACTTAAAAACAAAACAAAACAAAACAGTAGTGAACCAAACATCTTGTTTTGTACTTTGCTTTTTCCCAAGGACCTTCTTTCAGGGTTCTCCTTTTTTAAAAGTGAGTTTACCTTATTTCAAATTTAAATTTTAAGTTAACTTTTTAAAGTTATATTAATGCTCCCCGAACAAAGTAACGAAATCAACAGAGAGATGAGTTGTAAACACAGTGGAAAATCCTGCTTTTTCCTGATTCATTGAGGCTGTTTCCTCTGCTCCTGAGGCTCTCTGGGCGTCCCCCCTTCATGGCCCAGAGGAGCCACCTTTCAATTCCCCAACGTTGGGCAAGTGACCAAAAGGTTAGGGACTTTGCATCCTGGGTCTTGAACAAACCCTTGGGAAGGGAGGCAGGGAGGGGGTGTGATGCGGTTGAGCCCTGCCAGGGAGAAGGAATGACCTGCTGACCTGTTTTCCATCAGCATTGAATACTCAGAGCCCTGTAGCTCAGGGCCTGGTAGAGAAAACCTCTGGCGATAAAGCAGAACCTTGCTGGAGGAAGGCACCTCGATTGCTTTTGCAGCTTACTTTTATGGCTAGATATTGCATGTTGATACTGTGAGTAATGGAGAAGAAGAGGGTTTTAAACTCTGTCTCCCGTGCAGGGGTGGCCACCATCCTTTATGAGAGCCGCCTGGGCTGCCTGGAGACCAGCGTCCCACAGCCCACCGTGGACTACATCGAGGCTCTGGGGCTCATGTTCAGCATGTTCAAGACCTCCATGTACGCGGGCGCCATCCCCAGGTGGCTGCGCCCCTTCATCCCGAAACCCTGGCGGGAGTTCTGCAGGTCCTGGGATGGACTCTTCAAATTCAGTAAGAGAAGAATCGAGGGGCACCTGTTGTCTCACCAGTTGACACAACTGCGTGGCTCGTGGTGCATCTGATGCTCATGCTGCCGGAGGGGTGAGGTTCCGGAGGGTGGCCTGATGCAGTTGCATGTTTTTACTTGGACCCGGGATTTGGCTCGGCTTCTCAGATGACGAGATACATGTGGGTTGCCACTATCAGCAACACAACCGATTTCTCATTTTTTAATTCTTTTTATTGTGACAAACATGCTAGTGGTGATTTATGCAAGTAAATGTTGTCTAAGGGAGATGATGACTTTGGTCCAATAATTCTGTCAGTGCTTGAAATGCAGACAGCGTTTTGGGCCTGTGCACTTTCACTCGAACATTCTCATTTGCAGCTTTTTGGAAAGAGACAAATTCCTCTGGCAAAACAAATGAGGAAACAATACTGTGTTCAAACCCAGCAAAGCGACATTAGTTTCCCTACATACCTAACCAAGAATTTCCAAAAAGAAAAGATTTGCAAAATGTTTGTTAGAACAATGGTTTTAGAACAACACTAATGTGTCCCATAGTGTCTTTTGAAGGCCAACATTCATTTGAATATGTAAGTTCTAATGGATTGAAAGTGCCACTATCTTTTTATGTAACATGGCCTTTATGCTCACTCCATTCTGTCTTCTGGAAACATAGTAGGAAAAAAAAAAAAAGAAGGGATCTGTAGTTTTATTACTCCAAAGCTTTCTTGGCTTTTTGATGAGTAAAGCAAACATTTGCAAATATCTTCTGCATTATTTTTAGAGAGGAAGAGATGCTTAGCTTGTCTTTAACTTTTTTTCCAAGATTTTATTTATTTATTTGAGAGAAAGAAAGAGATCGCGAGAGAGAGCATGAATGGGGGTCGGAGAGGGAGAAGCAGGCTTCCCGCAGAGCAGGGAGCCTGACAAGGGACTTGATCCCAGGACCCTGGGATCGTGACCTGAGCCGAAGGCAGATGTCTAATCGACTGAGCCACCCAGGTGCCCCTGTCTTTAACTTTTCATTCATTTATACAAACAAGCATGTGGATGAGCTTCCCAGGTTGACAGTAAATCGACCTGGGTTTCGTTTAGCTTTAGAACCTGCCACAGATTAAGTTATTGGGAGGATGAAGAGATTACTCTCAACCAAAACTTCTTTCAAAAGAAATAACTCTTTTCAAACAGGCCAAATCCATGTTGACAACAAGCTGAGGGACATACAGTGCCACATGGACCGTGGGGAGAGCGTGAGTGGGGGGCTGCTCACATGCCTCTTCCTCAGCCAGGAGCTGACGCTGGAGGAGATCTACGCCAACATCACAGAGATGCTGCTGGCTGGCGTCGACACGGTGAGCGTCTTGGCCTTGCTCTCTTCTTGATAAGCAAAGCACAGCTGAAGCCGGGGGCCTTTCCGAGTAATCTTATATGTGCATATGTGTTGGTGCTAACTGAACATCTGCTTCGCTGCTGAACATCTCCAGGAGGAAACTCTAACTTTTAAATAATATACATGTATTTTAAAATGTAAAAACATAATTCTGCAAAAAATGCAACCCCCATTCAGTTATCATGCACACAAAGTAACAATGTGTTTTAAAGTTAAAAAATCATTCCCAATTTGCAAGCATTGGTCCATTGCTTCATAATATCAAAAATGAAGAAGGCACAGATGTTAGAAACCTTATTATTTATCATTTAAAGTGTTGCAGGTCATGGAGGACTCCCTAATTCATTTTATAAAGCCACCGTCACTTTTAAACCCAAACCTGCTAACGAGAGCATAAAGAAAGAAAAGTTTAATAAACAGGTCGACTTATGAATATGTGTGTCTATCAGTCTTTTTTTTTTTAAGATTTTATTTATTTATTTATTTGTCAGAGAGAGAGAGAGAGTGAGAGAGCGCATGAGCTGGGGGGAGAGGCAGATGGAGAGGGAGAGGCAGACTCTCCACTGAGCAAAGAGCCCAAAGTAGGACTCGATCCCAGAACCCTGGGATCATGACCTGAGCCGAAGGCAGACGCTTAACCAACTGAGCCACCCAGGCGCCCCATGTCTATCAGTCTTAAGTAAGATCCCGATGAACAGATTTATTGTAACAGATGAATAATCTACTATGACCAAGGAAGGATGAATATCCGAATGAAACAAAGCACTGTCAATGGACTGGGTGGGAATTGCATCCCCTGTTGTTAAGTGAGAAATGAAGGCGCAGAACCTGTGTATGCCATGCTGCTGTTGGTAAAACAAACAGTGGCCCGGCCCCTGCCCGTCTGTGTGCATGTCCGTACCTGTATGTGATTTTATGAGTGTGGAGGAAGTATGGAGGGTGCACACTGGGTTGTTAACATGGGTTACCTGCCTGGGGGATGGAGGGCTGTGAGGGGATAGGAGCCAAGTTTCCTCCTAAAACATATGTGTAATAGGATACATTTATTCATGTATGAAAAATGATATTCATATGGATATATGTACAGAGAAATTTTAAAATTTGCTAAAAAGAAGTAGTGAAACAGGAAAAAGCAGGGCTGGGCTTTTAGTATTTGGTGGAGGAAAAGTTAGTTGAGTGAAATAATTAAGATTTGCCTGGTGCTTTACTCTTTCCAAAGCCTTTCAAAACTAAACAACTAAGCTCATGACCTCAAAGCTTTTCCTTTACAGGAGTGCTTCCTGAACTTGAATAAGGCACAGACCTTCTGTTTAAAGGGAGAACTCCCTCCCCCAGGGTTGCCATTGTTTTTATTATAATGTCACATAAACATGTAAAAGCAAAAAACTTAGTAAAAACTCCTTATTCTTATGGATCTTCTACAACAATAAAACAAAAACATGTATCAAACTAACCAATAAAATCAATGTGATCAATGAAAATTCTAATCAGTCATGTGAATGTGGTGGGTGGTGCGGGTTTGCTTGAATGGGGAAGGGATGAGTGAGTGGTTGGCCTTGCCTCTAAGCGGATTTGGGTGCGTTGTCCCTCCTGCCCCCTGGTGGTAACTAAGACCATCACATGAGGTGGAGGACAGAAAGGACCATTCCTACCAGAGGCCCCTGGAGGCCACATCAGCAGAAGCGTTCTTACAATTCATATTCATTTTCTAAAATATTACTTAAAAAACTTTATTGCAGTATAATTTAAGCAAAAGAAACTGCATCCTTTTAAACCGTACAATTTGATATAACTTGTTGGCAGATACAGGATAAGCACACATGCGATCATTTATGAAACTACCACCACCATCAAGATCCTGAACATTTCTACCGCCGCTGGAATTTCCTTACTCCCATTTCAGTCTCTCTCTGCCCCAGGCAACCGCTGATCTGCTTTCTGATGCTGAGCATCAGTTCGCACTTTTCTAGCAATTTATAGGAATGGAATCATTCAGTGTGTATTTTGCATCCAGCTTCATTCAGTCAGCAAATGATTTCAGGATTCACCAATGTAGTTGCATATCAAAGTAGTTTATTCTTTTTTATTATGGAGTACAGGCATCCCTCGCTTTACTGTGCTTCACAGATTAGTGTGTCGTTTTTATTTTACAAATTGAAGGTTTGTGGCCACCCTGCATTGAGCAAGTCTATTGGCTCTATTTTTACAACAGCATCTGCTCCCTTTGTGTCTCCATGTCACATTTTGCTAATTCTCATGATATTTCAAACACTTTCATTATTATTATATTTGCTATAACAATATATAATACACATTATATTTGTTATAATATATAATATATAAGTATATATTATATTTGTTATAATAACATATAAAAATGGAATCACTGGTCTGTGTTCAGTGGGTGATTAGGACTTGTTGAAAGCTCAGGTGATGGTTAGCATTTTTTAGCAATAAAGTATTTTTAAATTAAAGTGGGTACATTGTTGTTTTAGACATAATGCTATTGCATACTTAGTAGGTTACAGTGTAATGTAAACATAGCTTTTATTTGCACTAGGAAAGCAAACAATTCATTTGACTTGCTTTATTGTGATACTCGTTTTATTGTGGTGGTCCGGAACCCAACCCATAATATCTCCAAGGTACGCCTGTAGTATTCCATTGTATGGATATACCGCATTTGGTTTTTCCACAGAAATGTGATTTTAATAGAAATTTCTAAATTTTTTCCTTATCATTTATAGGAAGAACTTGAACATTATATATATTATAGGAGAGCTTGCCCTCTAAAAACAGATAGTATCTAGGACAGGGAAATGATACCAGTATGGTCTACTGACTTTAGATTTTTTTTAGGTAAAAGAAAAGGCATTTATACTGTGGACTTCCCTTGTTTATGAGAGTGAAATACAGTCACATAGGTAATAGGGAAAATGTAGTGAGAGTCTTGGAACCTGGGAGAATAAGATATAATTATTTTAAATAACCAGAAATGTAATTCTTCAGTCTGAGACGTGGTATAAAAAAATGGTACTGTTTTGCATAAATGATCTATTAAATCCTTATAGGTTGCTTTACTTGAGAAAAGCCTGGAAACAGTGGAGGACAAATACCGCCCCCCCCCGCCCCTTGAGGCGGCCAGAGCAGGCCCCGCCCAGCCATCGTGGGCCTGCGCAGTGCCAGACTGAACAGTTCCCGGGCTGACCGGCAGGCTCTGGCCCTTTCTAGCAAAAAACCAGATGACCCTTGCAAAGGTCACAGAAAGTTCCCGGCACCACTTCCAGGCTTGACCATCATCCTTAGGTCCTCTCAGACGCCACCGAAGAGGATTGCTCTTATGTGGTCCAAAAAGGTTCAAAAATAATTTCTGCACCCCTTCATTGAAAGAGCAATTGAATCACATAGCTGATGCTACTTTCCAAAAATACTTTTTTTTTTTTTCCTGGCATGATTTAGGGAAAATCAGCTTTTGCTTTGCTAAGCCCTAACGTGCTCATATAGAGTTGAATGGACATGACTTTGCACATGTGCTTATGCTCACGTGACTTCCTGGCCGACGTTGCCTGCTGCTTAAATCCTGGTGTTACTCACCCACGTGCCTGTGCCTGCCGGTTTCTTTATTAGACGTCCTTCACCTTATCCTGGGCAGTGTACCTCCTCGCGTGGCACCCGGAAGTGCAGCAGACCGTGTACCGGGAGATCGTTAAGAATTTGGGGGAAAGGCACGTCCCAACTGCAGCCGACGTCCCCAAAGTCCCACTGGTCAGAGCTCTGCTGAAGGAAACGCTGAGGTAAAAGGTTCACCAAAATTCATGTCAAAAACTGTCTTTTAAGTCTCTGATTCTTTATCACTATGATTTATGCTTTGGACTTAAAAACCGGGCCCAAAACAAATGGGCCAACAACCTTCAGTGGCCAAAATGTTTAGGAAGGAGATAGTTATAACTATCTGTTTCCTCTCTGCTCTTAGAATAGCAGAAAGGCTGTTCTGTTTTAGGGTCTGAAATATTAGTTGTTCTTCATAAAGCTTTTTGGAGCCATCACCCCATGACATGGTACCTGCTTTAGTCATTTGGTTCACCAAGCTCCCCACCAGCTCCTGGATCAGTACTCCATGGTTCCTGTTCCTCTGAAAGTAAAGCAGAACAAGATGGATTGATCAGGAAAATATTTTGGGCTGTTTGGTTAATTACCAAACCTACTTACTGTGGTTCTCGTGTGGATATGCTAGTTGGATTGGCGACACCAAATGGACTTATTCGCTCCTGGACAGGGCTTTAACAACACTCAGAAAAGCCTGGACGTGAGGGATATGGGTGGCCTTGGGTGGGTTTGGGTGGGAGGTAGGATCAGGTGGCCAGTGAAATTTCTTCCTCTTTTGAGGTTCAAGGATTCTGAGGTTCAAGGATTCTGTTGAGGAACTGCCATGTAGAAGAGTAGAAGTGGCAACATGGTGTACTCTACAATAATTCTTTTAAACTTGATAATGGTGTTTCAAGTTGTGGTGCATCCTCAATCCACAGCATGTTGTTTAACCTCGGGGGAAAAAAAGCTAGCTATGTGTTTACTGGTATTTGTCGATTGCAGTTTTATTCAGCGTTTTCTCTGAATTGCCTCTCGGAGACAGCCCAAAAGCTGAAGTAGAGCATTTCTCAACATGTGTTTCCAGGGCCCCTGAGTCCTGTGGACTGTTCCTTGATAAAGGGGGTCACATGCACACATAAATTTCCCAGACTTGGGATTATCCCTTCTGGGAACACAGTAGCACGTTCAAAACTGCTTTGTGTTTCATAAACATTTTTGACTAAGGGACCTGTTTTCCCATACCTTAGAATACTCCCTGGCCAAAGCTAAGGAGCCATGAAGATCCTTATGAGATTTCTTAGTTGAAACTGGACCACATGTTACGTTTTAGAAAAATGAAAATGGCAAAATGTCCAGATTTTTGAAAGTTTAGCAAAGTACTTTAAAAGTGACCACCCCATTCCTGCTTCTTTTCCAGGCTGTTTCCAGTGCTGCCGGGGAACGGCCGAGTCACCCAGGAAGACCTGGTCGTTGGCGGGTACCTGATTCCCAAAGGCGTGAGTTTGGTTGCCAGGGTGTGGGGACTTGGGCTCTGCCATGGTGGCTGAGCGGGAAATCTGCTGGTATGTTAGGAAGTCCTTGAGCCCAAGCAAATATCAATAGGTTCCTTTCCTACTGCATGTATTTTATAATGAAGATGGGGCTTTGGAAGCAAGGAGGTGCTCATTGCCCTGGCAAAAGCAAAGCCAGATGTTTCTGTAGCTCCTCCCTCCTTCAGGTATGGTGGACACAGCAGTTGTGGGGGTGAGGGGGGAGGTTTGAAGGACTTGAATCTCCTCAGTGGCTGCAGTGGCATGAGAGGTGGGCATCCACTGAAGGAGGACTGCTGTCCGTGGGGGCCCTTATGTGGCTCCTCCTGGCCAGAAGCACCTCAGGAGGGACTGGCCAACTGGGTTCTTGCCTCTGCTCTGCTTTTGCCTGATCCTATTCTTTATTACTTTTCTGTTGCAAATGGTGTCCTCAGACCCAGCTGGCCCTCTGCCACTATGCCACGTCCTATGCAGATGAGAACTTCCCTCGGCCCAGGGAGTTCCGGCCAGAGCGCTGGCTGCGGAAGGGAAGCCTGGACCGAGTTGACAACTTTGGGTCCATCCCCTTTGGGTATGGGGTTCGGAGCTGCATCGGGCAGAGAATCGCAGAGCTGGAGATCCACCTCCTCTTGATCCAGGTAGGTGTGTGGGGGCCAGACGTCAGCCTTCTGCCTCGGCCTCGTTTCCTGGGCTCCACCAGACCAAGACTTAGGTGGGAAAGGAGATGTGATTTGGAGAACTGAAATGCACTAGCTTCATGTTAAATCCCTTTTATATTTTAAAATGCCACCCCCTTGGGTCCCCTGACCACCCACTGAGCCTCTTTTCTCCTTGGAACCATGGAGCAGCAGTTGGGGCTCTTGGAGGCCTGAGGACTGGGAGGTGTGCATCCTGTGGTGGGTCTACAGGGGTCCAAGAGCTCAGCTCTTGGAAGTTAACGGGAAGGTGTCAAACCAGTAGTCTTCGAAAGTTTTGGAGCAGTGAAGGCATTAGGAGGATCCTTAGAATGCAGGTTCCTGGGCCACCACAGAGATAGGAATTTGGTGGGTCTGGGATGGGGCTGCCAGGGGGTTCTGATGCCGGTGATTGCTGGGCTGCACTCTGAGAGACGTGTGAACCAGCCACTTAGGCTGTGCAGTGGTTCTCACACTTGTTTAGGTTGTGAAACAGCAGGAAGGCTTGGTTTTGTTATATTTAATCTCTTACTATTAAAATGATGCTTTTCTGCCTATACTGTATTTCAGTTTGTGCTGTAGCATAAGTTAAATCATGTTTGAAGGAAATTTTATAAAAGAAAACACTTTAGTAGAGAAAATTCTACTCATCAGGTTTCCCTGCAAGTTTAGGAAGGCTACTGTTAACATATCTTAGCCGTGGAAGACCTTGGCCCAAGGTTTGGGAGCTACTGCCATTGACATTGCATTGGAAGAATGTAGAGATTACCTGGTGACCCAGGATCCCCATTTTATTGAGGAGGCAACTGAGGCTCAGAGAGCTGGAGCCACTTGCCACGGTCACAGAGTGGTAGGTGCGTGGCACGATCCAGGTGTCTTGACTCCTTCCTCCATTTCTCTCCATGTCATGGGGGTGCTCTCCTGCAGCTTACAGCAGGACACTGAGAGGTTAGGACCTCGATGACAGATGGCCTGAGAGAGCGTGAGGCACTATGGAAGCCTGGCCAGCCTGGGAGGGGTGGAGAGGGATTCTGAACGGTCAGCACTTGGGGACGGCTCTGAGAGCTGGGAAGTTGAGGGGCTTCTGCCCAGCCAGAGAGCACGCAGCAGGAGGCGTGGGAGCAGAACGCCTCTCAAGCTGGGCGGCTCAGGTGGGAGGAAGCCCGGTGACCAGTGTGTCAAACGGTCATCCCCCCCTCAGTCGAGATGCGGTGGCTGCTGGCCAGGCTCAATGGTGTTGCTACCAGTGCGGCCATTCCTGGGGACGGTGTGGGCCCTGCGGACACTGGCCCATCCCGGCGGCGTCTGACGTGAGAGGCAGCTCGGTGCGGCGTGGATGGCAGTTCCGGGGCAAGCGGACTCAAATCCCAGCTCTACTGTTTGCGGTTCTGACACTCCAGGCAGGTTTCTCAACCATGCGGATCCTATTCCCTTATGCATGAAATGGGCCAAATACCTACTTCTTGGGTGTGTGAGGACACAGTCTGTGCCAGAGAAGTGGAAGCAGCTGTTGTCCATGCATCTGCTCTGAGTGTCTGCTCTTGGGTGTTCAGGAAGGTCTCATGCACCTGCTCTGAGTGTCTGCTCTTGGGTGTTCAGGAAGGTCTCATGCTCCATAACATTGGCTCCATAGATTCTACAGCCGCATCCGGGCCAGGCCGAGGCCGCTTCCTATGGAAAGTCGGCTGTGGAGCTTACCGCTCCCCCCGGTTCTGGCTGCCTGAAGAACCAGAGGGGACACCACAAGAGCAAGATGGCAGCTGAGGGCACAAAGGCCAGCCCTGCCTGGTGCTCCCGTTGGAAGGGGGTCAGAAACGGGGTGTTTGGTGGCAGCGGTGGGGTTTTGTTTGTTTGGTGCTATTAACATACAAATGTACCTGCTGCAGTTTTTCCTTGAGTCCTCATTTCTACTTGTGCAAATAGAGAAACGGAGCATCATTTTTTGTAATTGTCAAGAAAAAAAAAAAGAGAAGGCACAAATGAGCCATGCTAGGAATGAGAAAGGAGACATGGCTAAAAATGCAGTCGTTGATTTTTTTAAATCAAGAAAATACCACAAATGCCTTTTTTTTTTGCTAATACATTTGAAGACTTAGATAAAATATAAAATGTACTAGAAAACGTAGGTTGCCCAAATTGACTCGAAGGACAATAGACCTCAGATACTGAATACATGGAGTTGGTGGTAAGATGATTTACCTCCCAAATGTTCCAGACCTAGACAGTTTCATTGCAAGTTTTATCAAACCTTCATGAATGGGTAATCATCATCTTATATAAACAGAGACTAGAAAAAGGAAGTCTCATTTTTATGAGACTTGCATAGCCCCAATATTCAAAACCTGGAGAGGATAATACGGGAAAGGAAAACTACTGGCCAATCTGATTTATTAACAAAGATGGAAAATATCCTAAATGAGAAATTGGTAAACCGAATCCAGCAGCGTAGGAAACAGAAGTGCATCTCCAGCACATCAGGTGTATTCAGGAATGCAAGGATGGCCCACCTCAGGGACATCTGTTGATATCATTTACCACAGTAGCTAATTGAAGGAGGAAAAATATATGAGCACCCCCAGAAAGAATTGATAGCATTCCACACACATTCATGAAGAAAATCTCTTAGCACACTAGTAACGGAAGGGCTTTCCTTAACCAAATAAATGGAGTCTCCCCCAGTAGGACAGGGCACATGCCTTTGGCTTCGGGAAGGGAAAGGATGTTAATGGAGCACTGTCAAATGGGAACAGGGTATTTGTATCACACAGAGAACTTTTAGGAAATACACTTTAGCTCTTTGGGAGTTGGGACTTGAGGCGCAAGAGGGGCTTTGTTTTTTGCTTGTACGTTTTCTGTGTAGTTTGGATTTTTTTTAGCGAGCATAGTGTTGCCCACTCACAAAGGGAAGAAGGCCATGTGGCACGTTGGCCTTGAAGTGAGGAGACCTACACGTGAGTTCTCCTGCCATGTGGGGTGTGCAAGCAGTTCTGTGGAGTCAGAACCGAAGGTCAGAGGTTAGATGTTTTGCTGAAGCTATCTTGATGCTATAACGTGTTGGAGCTGCCGAAATACGGGTCATTCAGCTTGGCTCTTGAAATGTGACAACGGAGGGGGTCCAACATATGTCCCCAGTCAGCCCTGCCCCTTCCCCCTGCCTGACCTCCCCTGGAGCCTCAGCCCACCTGAGGACCCATCAGTGGGTCCTGCTGCTTTGCTTGGGGGACGAGGCTGGAGAGGGAGTCAGGGCAGGGTGGGGGTGGGCAGCTTGGATCCCATGTGACATTATATGTTCTCCAAAACTGACACATCGTTAGGCTGGACTTTATTCTGGACCCAGTGGGCAGCAGAGTAGGGGCCAGCAGCTAGTGTGCTGGTGAGCACGGCCCTTCCACCCCCACCAGGAACACATGTGTGCTCTGACATGGGTCTTTTTTTTTTTGTTTTTAAGATTTTATTTATTTATTTGACAGAGAGAGATACAGCGAGAGAGGGAACACAAGCAGAGGTAGTGGGAGAGGGAGAAGCAGGCTTCCTGCTGAGCAGGGAGCCTGATGCGGGGCTCGATCCCAGGACTCTGGGATCACGACTTGAGCCGAAGGCAGACGCTTAACGACTGAGCCACTCAGGTGCCCGTGACACGGGTCTTTAGAGCAGGTTGCCTTCAGTTCCCTAAGCCAACCTGACCTTGAACATCAGGCCAGGGCCAGTTGGTGGCAGAGGTTATTGCTTTAAGCTGTTGGATATTTTGGTGCTCTTTAAAACTCATTGTGTGTGTGTTTTTAAAGATTTTATTTATTTGAGAGAGAGAGAGAGAGTACAAGTGGGGGCAGGGGCAGAAAGAGAAGCAGACTCCCCTGCTGAGCAGGGAGTTAGACTCGGGGCTTAATCCCAGGACCCTGAGATCAGGACCCGAGCTGAAGGCAGACGCTTAACTGACTGAGCCACCCAGCGCCCCTAAAACTCACTGTTGAGGTACTTACCAGTTTGACCCTGAATGGTAGAGCTGGTTCTCCTTTTGAACCGCAGAAATGAGAAATGGAATCAAAGGTACAGATCGAGAATATTTAAACTGAGGACATCAATCACTGAAGCCTGTTTGGGTGATTCACCTGCCAACAGCAGTGTGCTCCTCAGGCCCATGTCACCTCAGGTTCCCAGCCGGAGGGAAAACTTGTCCCTCTGTTCTCTTTGCTCCTTTGATTACTTCTCTACCTCGACCTGAAGAGGAGGCAGAGGAGTTGGAGTTTTGAAATGGCTGAGAAAATGGAAGTCATTTGAATATTGTGTCTGCATATCTTTGTCACATGAACTTCCCAGTTGCTCAGTGGGCAGGCCGGGCTCCTGTGCAGGACCTAGTGCTGCTTTCAGACCCGCAGCATCCCCTGCATCCCCCCGACCGGCGATTGGTGTCCTGCACCATGGCCGTGCCCACTTCCTGGGTTCCCTGCAACCCATGGCCACCAGAGGAAGATGAGGGGCACTCATTCAGAGCACTGCGAGGCCTCTGTTGTCCCCATTTTGAATTCCCCCTCTCTCTTTCTCTTCTTAGTTGCTTCAACATTTTGAGATCAAAACATCCTCTTGGACTAAAGCCGTTCCTGCAAAAACCCATGGGCTGCTGATGCCAGGGGGGCCCATCCACATGCGTTTTGTTAACAGAAAGTGAGCCTGGATTTTTAAACCCAGCCAGCCTCCTGACACAAACCGGGTGTTCCAATGTTACTGATGATGGCGGAGGAGGGAAGCCGTCCCTTTTAGAGGCTGTCTTTGTAATAAACTGGCCCCCCATGTTCTGGGAGACTTGTACATCTTTATGCAGAGTAATTTGAAAAGATTATTTGACTTTTGCAAACCAGTGTTGCTTTTTCTTTGGAGAAACGACTTTAAAAACGAGGGGCACTGAATCCTGGTGTCTCCTCTGCGGTCTTACCCTTGTGCTATACTTGATATTCAATAGTCTCCTATACATTTGTGCAAGGAAATGTTTGTTTACTTATAAATTCCATGCTTGAATATATGTTCTGTAATACTGTACCAGGACTCTATGTCAGGAGGCAAATGCAACTTACTGTTTCCAATTTGAAGAGGGAACATTACGAATGTCTCTGTAGTACTGTGAGTATGGGAAGAAAGCACCAGAGTCAACATTTTATCCTGAGCACCTGAGATTTAGATCCTGCTGAAGGGCTCAAAATTAAAAGAACCATATTCTTATTTTTCTCTCCAAACTGGCGCTTCCTTTTCTAGTAACTCCTAAAGAAGTTGAAGATTAGCTTTTGTTTGAAAGAAATTATCAATAAAAAATAGAACTCCTATGAAATCCAGAAATATTGGGTTTTCTAACCGAGTATAAACACTAAGAAGATGTATAAGAAAATCTGTGTGGAATTTCATTGCCTCAGTTGAGAAAAATGAATTAGACAAGCATTGTGGAAAGCCATGTAACGTTAGAACATTTTTATTTCAAGGAAAAATAAACATAAAAGTGGACATGCTATAGATAAAATAATATTTTGATCTTCATGGTGTTATTTTAAATATCTGAACCGGAAATGTGATCCAGCTGTTGGTGCTTATGTAAGGCTCCAACCGGATGCCTTGGGCCTCAGGATTGTTCGCTCACACCAAGCTCTGTTGCCTTTCATGCTACATGCTGATCACTAATAAGAAAGAACACCATTTTGTAACATTCTCCCTGCATAGTCATGCTTGAAACCGCTTCTTCTCAATCCCACAAATCTTTTCACATAATCCTTCCCCCAAATCACCTCCCTACTAATACATACCATACATCTCCCCCCGCACTTTAGTCATGCTGCAAAGTAACCCTTAAATAAAACAGAAATAATAGCCATTTCACATACCATCCTTGTTAAAGTATGTAACAGCGTTAAATCTGCATGTGAAGACAGAATAACTCTAGTCTGAGGGCAGTAAAAATATGTACAGTTAAATACGAAATTGTGTCATAATGACTGACAAGATGTTCGATTGCTTTGAGGTTTATAGACTTTTATAAGCTAGCCACAATTTTATTCTGTTTGTGACTGAAATTAAAAAGTATTGAGACGAACGCAGCAACTTGAAGTGACTCTTATTCTGCCAGGCGACCCCTCTGGTGAAGCGGGGCCGTGCCTGGCGATGGGCATGTGGTGAAGGTGATGGTAACACTTGAGCCTGCTGTCCCGTCTCCCTGGGGAGAGGGACAGACAGACCTTAGGAGCCTCCTGATGTGACACAACAAGAAGCACCTGGCACAACTATGGTGTGCTTACCGAAGAAATGGAAATTGTACCGGAGAGGTCTGTAGATCAACTACCAGTTTGTAGGAAACACAAGTTATAGAGGGACATGTTAAAACTCCAGGACAGATACCATATGATTTCCCTCATAAGTGGAATCTATAAACAAAAACCAAATGACAACAAAAAGCAGAGTCAGACCTGTAAATATAGAGAACAAACTGATGGATGCCCGAGGGAAGGGGGCAGGGTGTGGGCAAAATGGGTGAAGGGGAGAGAGAGAGGCTCAGGCTTCCAGTTATGGGATGAGTAAGTCACTGGAGTAAAAGGCCCAGCACAAGGCACACAGTCAGTGGTATTGTAATGGGTTGTATGGTGACGGATGCGAGCTACATGTGTGGTGAGTGTAACGTCATGTATCAAGTGAGGGAATCACCGTGTTGTACACCTGAAACTAAGGTAACGCTGTGTCGACTATACTCAAATAAAAAAATGGTTTTGAAATGAAAAAAAAAAGTGGTCTTTAAATGGAAAAATTATTATGTTTTTTAAAGATTTTATTTATTCATCTGAGAAAGAGAGAGACAGCACAAGCAGGGGGAGAGGCAGAGGGAGAAGGAGAAGCAGACTCCCTGCTGAGCAGGGAGCCTGATGTGGGGCTTGATCCCAGGACCCTGGGTTCATGACCTGAGCCAAGGGCAGACGCTTAACCATCTGAGCCACCCGGGCGCCCCTAAATGGAAAAATCATAAAATACACAACAGCTTTCAAAAAAAACCACAACCCCAAAACCCCAAAACAAAACAACCCCATGCAGATGCAGTCAGTAGAATCCAGAATATGGTGAAGTCTACCTGACAAATAACTCTATTTTTTCCAGCAAATAAGTGACAAGGAAAAAGAAAAAGAGGAAGGAGGCTGTTGCAGATTACGAGAGAATTAAGAGACGTATTGACCCCATGTGATGCTGGACACGGTTTGAATCCAGATTTAAATAAACCGCTCGTAAAGAGACATTTAAGAGATATTTAGGGAAATTTGGACGCTGTGTATTTGAATATTAAGGAATTACTTTTTTTTTTTTTTTTTTTAGTGTGCTAGTGGTAGTTATTACATTAAAAAGAGAGAGATCTTATCTCTTGGAGACATCTCTTAGAGATACCAATGGGCCATATTTGTGGATGAGCTGCTATGACATCTTGGATTTGCTTTAAAATAATGCTGCTGTGGGGGTGGGTGATGTGTGGGGGTGGTGGGGGGTGTGGGGAGGACGAAGTGAACTGAGATCAGCCCAGTGCTGAGAACTGGTGGAGCTGGGTGAAGGGTACATGGAGGATTCATGACATTCTCCCGGCTTTGTGTACGTGTGTGGGTGCATTTCCATAATAAAACGTGTCTTCAAAAGCCAACGACTGGATTGATTAATTACCTCATTATTCATTTCTTTTTCATTACTATTCACTAACCAGCCAAACTGACTATAAATTAGGTTCTTCAGGGAGCTACACCTTTTTTTCCCCCCCAAGTAATTGTTAGCAATGATCGATTTAGCTACCGGATAGCTGCTGTGTTAGGATTCTGGGGACCTGTTAACTTGGGTCAGCTGGCCTTCAGAGCTGAGGACAGATCCAGAGATACGAGTGATGAAGGGAGGAGCAGGGCGGGCACTGCAGCCAAGCTGGGACCAGGACGGAACCCTGGGTGTGAACCAGCAGAGTGGTGGGCCCTGCAGTCTGTTCCCTGCCTCAGGGTTCTCAGACTGCAAACTCCATTTCTTTTCTTTTCTTGTCCTTTCCTTTCCCTTCCCTTCCTTTTCTTTTCTTTTTTTCTTTCTTTTCTTTTCTTTCTTTTTCTTCTTTCTTTCTTTCTTCTTTTCCTTTCTTCCTTTCTTCTCTTCTTTCTTTCTCTTTCTTTCTTTCTTTCTTTCTTTCTTTCTTTCTTTCTTTCTTTCTTTCTTTCTTTCTTCTTCTGATTTCATTTATTTGACGGAGAGAGCGAGTGAGCACAAGCAGGGGGAGTGGCAGGCAGAGGGAGAGGGAGAAGCAGGCTCCCCGCTGAGCAGGGAGCCCGACGCGATGCGGGGCTCGATCCCAGGACCTTAACCAACTGAGCCACCCAGGTGCCCCCAAACTCCATTTCTAAAAATGTGCTGGTCCTGTGAAAGGGGTCCGAGCCCGGCGGGTCTGAGAGCTGATGGAGGTGCCGGGTGCGTGGTGAGAATCAGCTCAAAGCTGCTCTGTCAGGGTAGCAGGGCCAACGGCGCAGAATGACTGGAGGGACACTGGCCGTCCTCCACACTAAGCTGCAGCTCAACAGCCAGACACCAGGAAGGTCAAGGCCCTGGGCTGCAGGATTTGTAGGCGACCCCCTCCCCACCCCGGGTTCCTCTTCAATCAGGTGTTTGACTGGCTTGGCCTGTGACAGGCACCTTGACCCAAAGTCACTGCTGGAGAAGTTTCCAGTTACTCTTAGTCATCATAACCCTCTCATTTAATAATGAAGATATCCAGTCCTGTAGAAATAAAACATCCCTGAACCTCACTCACAGACAAGCCCCCAGCCCCCTCAGCTCTGGGTGGTTCAGGGAAGCCCATGGAGGGAGGGACAGGCTGGTGTCTCTTTTCTGCCATGCCCCCTCCCCCCCTCCTCTGGGTTTGGAGCTGGCAGAGGAAGAGGAGGTGGCAGGAAGGGGAAGGGTGGCTTCTGATGGCCACAGGAGATCTGGCTTCAGGCTCTTTGGCCTGAGTGGACATGCAAAGCTCACTCTCCCTCCTTTGGAGTTTTTCTAAATGAGGAACCTCCAAGTGTACCTCCAAGAAGCAGGCAGTGCCTTTCCTCCAAGTGGCTTCTTACGACTGTGGGGCACCCAGGGTCCACTTCTGTCTGGGTCCCATGGCCCATCCAAGCTCTGCCCTTGGGCAGACTAAAAACCCCTGCCCAACTCTGTTGTCCTTCCTCTTGGTGGATCTAGTTGCCCTCCTGTGTGCCCAGGCTTGTGCGGGGACTCTCACCAGTGCCGCACCCCACAGCCTGCAGGCAATGAGGGGCAGGCTCCCTCTGAGTGGCTCACTCAGCCTGGAGTGAGGAGATAACCCCAGGCTGGGGTTGCCTGAGTGTGAATGCGGGGTAGTCGCCACCTGCTGCCTCAGCTGAAAGAGACAGAGTCCTGTTGCCTCAGTCATAGCTGCTATCCGGGGAGACCTTGTGATGCTCCTCCTTGGGGCCTCCAGGAACCCCCGGGGACTGGCCCCAGTTGACACCAGGGACAGGACAGACCCACACTGGACAAAGTGGCAAGCATGGAAGTCTGTGCTAGGGCTTCCTTACTTTTTTAGACAAGGGTCAGGGCTGTTGCCTGGAATGGGCCATATGAATCTGCCCAGCGTGGAAAGGGGGCCATTTAGAGCCCCACCTGTTGTCATGTCTTCTAATTCTATGACCTTCTTTTTTTTTTCTTTTTCTT